TTACGTTTTCTTGTTCCCCATAAAAAATATTGTTATATTTAGTTGTCTTACCTTTTTCTACCTCATTGATTTGAATTCATATGAAAAAGATGGTATATGGTTGCTGAATGTTGGAATTGTATATTACAGATCTTTACCAAGGACTTGCTATGTATCTATATGTGTGTGTGTGTGTACGTGTGTGGATTTTATATATATATATATACACACACACACATATATACGCACACACTGTGTTGTGCTATGCTGTGAGATGCGAAGACCTGGTCCCATTCCTTTAAGAAGCTCTCTGGATTCAGATGAAAGATATTTCAAACCTGAGCTATGAACAGTGGAAACCACTGTACTTGGAAATAGAGAATTCTGGTCCTCTTATTGATAACCCGTCTTCTGAGACAGAAGTTTCTGTTTTTATGGAAACTCAAGATGCTGCCTTAGAAACTACTCCAGATGAAATGTTTCTAATAATAACTAGTCATGAACTTCTTAGAGATTTTATACCAAATAATTGGCTCTGTAGCTTGAATTATTTATCTATTTTAGTATTTTGTTTGCTTCTATTACAGTACAAGTTAATATAGGAGAAAAAATTTTTTAAACCTGAAACATTTGTCAGAAGATACAGGGAAATAAGTAAATGGTAATACAGTGTCATGTGCTCTGTGATAGAGATCGTCCCAGAGTGTTATGGAAGAAAGCAAAAACCAAACCCACTGCCGTCAAGTTGATTCCGACTCATGGTAGCCTTATAGGACAGAGTAGAACTGCCCCATAGGATTTCCAAGGAGTGGCTGGTGTATTCAAACTGCTAACCTTTTGGTTAGCAGCCAAGCTCTTAACTACTGCGCCATCAGAGCTCCATTATGGAAAAACTAGGTATTTAACTTGTAATGGGGAGGTCAGGCAAGGCACTCTGGAGGAGATGATGCCTATGCTTGCTTGTTTTTTTAAAGAATTTTTGTTTGTTTGTTTTTTAATTAGACTATCAATTCAGTTGCTTCTGAAAGATTTAGCACCTATCACTAACCCAAACTCTGAATAACCCACAGACTAAGAGAAAGCATTTATTAGACTATAATAGTTAGTCTGATATGCTCCATTTTACCAAAGTCCAGGTTAATTTTAGTTAGAGATAGAAAAATACAAAAGTTTAGAATCTGGTTAAGTCAGAACCAGTCTGCCAGCCCACAGCTGAGCCTGCAGTCTTCCTACCCCATCCTGTGTGTCCCATCTCAGTCAGTAGCAACCACGTCCTTCTAGATGCTCAGGTCAAAAACCTTGGTGACACATACTTGACTCTCCCTTTTCTCTCACTCTATATCTGCTCCATCAGCAAATCCAGTCAGTTATACACGCAAAATGTACCAAGTCTTATCATTTCTCATCCCCTCCACAGCTTCACTTTTGTCCAAGCCACCATCTTTTTTTAAAAAAAACAATTCAGTGGTTTTTAGTATATTCACAAAGTTGAGCAGCCATCACCACTGTCTTAGTTACAGAACATTTTCGTCACTTCAAAAAGGACCTCGTACCCATTAGCAGTCACTTCCACTTTCCCTTTCCCCAGCCCTTAGCAACCACTAATCTACTTACTATCTTTATAGATTTGCTTATTCTGGACATTTCAGATACATAGAAGCATGTAGTGTATGGTCTTTTGTGTCTGGTTTCTTTTACTTAACGTAATGTTTTCAAGGTTCAACCATGTCATAGCGTGAGTCAGTATTTTATTCCTTTATATGGCCAAATAATATTCCATTGTATGGCTATACCACATTTTGTTTATCCTTACTATTCTTGTTTTTCAAAGAGTAATTAGAGTTAGCCATGGGGAAGACAGTCCAGGCTAAGAGAATAGAAGTGCTAACACCCGACATCCTACGAGAGCATGGCATTTTGGAGGGGTAGATCTGATTTCATATGCCTGTTGGAAGAAATGGCTGGGGAGGGGAAGAAAGCAAGGGAGAATGGGAGCACAAAACAACTGGATTGTTGTTAGTGTCATGTAGTTAACTGGTAAGGCATTTGGATATAATTTGAATATATGCAATATTTATAAAAATTCCCTCTGACTAGTGCAAATTTAGGATTTTTAAAAAGAATTATTTTCCTTAGCACACTAAATCTAGTTGTTAGAGTTAAATAAGAGAAATCCAAAGATGAGTGTTTTGTTTGTTTTCATATAATAATGACTACATTAGGCTTGTCTTAAAATACATTAGTCAGGTTAAAAGCCTTTTAAGGGAGTTCTTTAAATGAAATTTTTTCTGCTCAATTCCTTTGTTGCTCAGATTAGTAGAAATAATTGTTGTGGATTTTCATAACAATATCTGTTTGCTTCTAATGTTTTGAAACTTTAAAAAATAGCTATAGTGAAAAAGTTCAGTATACTCAGTTCCCTACATGACTTCAAAAATAGCCAATGTATTATGGCATTTGTTGCATGTGGAATTCTCCATGAAATACGACAAGTGATAACATTAAGTGGATGGATTAGAAGCAGGTTGGTGTAATGAAGTTAGGAAATAGGATCTTTGCCAGAAATAAATTTATTTTAAGTCTCTAGGCCTTAATTTGTCTTTCTGTAAAATTGAGGGAGTACCAGTCAGTACCTTGAAAAATCATCTGGTCTGACCTGTTATAAGACAGTTGAAGTTCTAAACTGTTCATTTTATTGTGTATGTTCATATGACATTTATTGTATATATTCATACATATTATTCATTCCACTACACAATAAATGGTTGTCTTTTTAGTGTCTGAGAGATCTCTACTAGTATTATTACTTTACTTAGGAAGTTAATTTCATAATACTCAAGAGAATCCAGTCCTTTATTTTATAGATAAAGAAGGTGAGGCCTAGTGAGAATATATACCTGTCCAGGGCCATGTAGCCAGTTAGTATAGGAGCAAGGATTTCGTTCATTCAATAAGCATTTTTTTCAAGAGCCTTTTTAGTAAGGTTTTCTATGGCTAATTTTCAGAAGTAGATCACCAGGCCTTTCTTCCTAGTCTGTCTTGGTCTGGAAGCTCTGCTACAACCTGTCCACCATGGGTGATCCTGCTGGTATTTGAAATACTGGTGGCATAGGTTCAGAATTGGAAAGGGTATGTAGCAGGGTTGTATGCTTTCACCTTACTTACTCAGTCTGTATGCTGAACAAATAACCTCTGAGAAGCTGGACTATATGAAGAAGAATGTGGAAACAGGGATTGGAGGAAGACTAATTAACAACCTGTGAAATGCAGCTGTCACAACCTTGCTTGCCAAAAATAAAAATGACTTAAAGCCCTTACTGATGAAGGTCAAAGACGACAGCCTTCAGTATGGATTGTACCTGAACATAAAGAAAACAAAAATCCTTACAACTGGACCAATAAACAGCATCATAAGAAGCAGAGAAAAAAAATTGAAGTTGTCAAGGATTTCATTCTCCTTGTATCAACAATCAACACCCATGGAAGCAGCAATCAAGAAATCAAATAACATATTGCATTGAGCAAATCTGCAGCAAAAGACCTCTTTAAAGTTTTAAAAAGTAAAGATGTCACTTTGATGACTAGGGTGTGCCTGACGCAAGCCATGGTCTTTTCTGTCATGTCATATACATGGGAAAGTTGGACAATGAGAAAAGAAGGCAAAGAATTGATGCATTCAAATTGTGGTGTTGGCATAGAATATTGGCTATACCATGGACTGCCAGAGAATGAACAAATCAGTCTTAGAAGAAGTGCAACCAGAATGCTCCTTAGAAGCAAAGATGGTGAGACTACATCTTCCATACTCTGGGCATGTCATCAGGAAAGATCAATTGCTAGAAAAGGACATCATATTTGGTAAAGTAGAGGGTCAAGGAAAACCCTCGATGAGATGGATTGACACAATTACCACAACAATGTACTCAGGCATATCAGAGGTCATGGAGATGGTGCAGGGTCCAGCAACATTTCATTCTTTTGTACATAAAGTTACCCTGATCAGAGCCGACTCAACAGCAACTAACAGCAGCAACAGTTTAATAAGTGTCCCTGCTCTCAAGCAGTCTAGCTTGGGTAGGGGAGGAAAGGGAAAGGAAGCTAGGGGACATACAACATGACAGATAAGAAAACAAGTAGTTTCATTTTAGCACTAATCACATTGTTTTAGAGGTGTGTACACAGTACTTTGAGAACACAGATTGGGGGACTGTTGGTGATGATTAACTTAGTGACAGAGCCAGACTAAGTTTTCTAACTCAGTCTGGAGTTTTTATTTTATCTTCATTATCACACACTGCCTATCTGAACAGCAAAAATATCCAAGTGAATTTTCTCATTTGCAAGGAACATTTAAATTGACCATATCACACCTTTGTTTTTGGTAGTAAAAATAGAGTTTACAGATTAGAATCTTATTTGGAATTTTCTTCTATTGTTGAATCATTTGAATTCTTTTCCTGTAGTTATAAACTACAACTGACAAAACTAAATCAGCAACCTAAATTCTTATATTTTTTAACTGTGCTATTAGTAGGTGCATCATAATTTCATAATTATGAAAAGCTATCTCTGAAGGTAGAAAAGAATTTTTATTTTCAAATGAATCAAGAACTGAAATCATTTTGTTAAAACAAATGTTTCTTAAAGCAAGTTTTACATTGATTTCATACTCCATAGAGGTGGTATAATACTTTTAAAAGTTATCTAAATAATTTTTGTGTTCCTTTTTTTTCAGTATAAGAGTTCTGCATTGACATTCTAATCAATGGGAAAAATAATTTAAGACTCACTGAGATACTCTGCTTTGGAGAATAATATGTATTCTTTCCTAATACTTGTTTGTAAAATTCAAGTTTAGTTGGGGCTAGCTGTAACAGTCTTTTGGATGTTCATAATGTGTTTTTCTTTTTTTTTTTTTTGGTTTTTCTTTTTTAATTTTTTATTTCCAGTGGGTATTATTCAGAAAACTCCTTAGAACAGAACAGAGGTTTTTATGCTGTCTTATTTTTTCCCTTGTTCAGAAATCGAAATGAGTTGGCTGAGACTCTTGCACTCCTGAAAGCACAGATTGATCCTGTACTATTGAAAAACTCTAGCCAACAGGACAGCTCTTCCCGGGAAAGCCCCAGCTTGGAGAATGAGGAGACTAAAAAAGAGGAAGAAACACCTAAACAAGGTTTTTTTTTGTGTGTTTTGTTTAGCTTTGTTTTGTAATCCCTTCTCTCTTCTCTTACTCCTTTTCCCAGCTGTATAAATCTGAATTCTAGCTTAGTTTGAAAAATTATGAGCCTTACTGTAAAAGGAGGTTGATTTTCTTTTTTTTAAAAAAAAAAAAGACATGGAGGCTAAAAACATCTACTAATGCTTTACTCTTTTATACAGAACTAAAAATCTAAATAAAAAAATGCTCAAATGATCAAAATACAATATCTCTTACTAATTTAAGAATGTGAAATTACCTGGTAAACTCTTGGCTGTAGTAATCCGAATTACTAAACCTGATTTCCTCACTTAACTTTTCTGTTAGCTTAACTAAGAAGTTCAAATCCTAACCCCTCTAAAAGGATAGAATCATGTTCTGACCTTTCTAGAAGGAAATAAACCAACTGAAAATTAGGCTAACATCTTTTTAGTTGATACTCAATTGTGATTGGTTTTTATTTTGTTTTCTTGATAAGGTACCTGTTAATGACAGGGAGTGAAATTGCTTTCTTTTTCATGTTTTCTCCCTTGGCTTTTAGTTTTGTCTGCTGTTTCTGTTGGAACCTAAAAGCAATATGTTTTTACTTTATGTATTTGATGGTTTGAGGGAACCATTCATAAAGTCATCCCATATCTGCATGTGTTACTTGCGAAGAAGTAAATATACCTTTTCATGTAGGATATAATGTTCCTACATATTAAGCATTGCTTTTAGCCAAAATTCCGGATATTACCTTCTTTTCATCAATGTTTATATGATTTTGAATATTTGTGGTGATTTTATTTGTAAACAAAATTTTTTATTTGAAACATTCTTTTCCATATGTTAAAATTTAATTTGTGGGCTTCTTCAGTAAAACTTAATTTTAAAGTACTCTGAACCTGCTATTGAACTTTCAGATATTTTTAGTAGCATTGTTTAAGTTTAAGTTCTGCATTTAGACTTAATATTATTTATTCATTTGGTCATTCAATTTGGTCATTGATTCATGTATTTGGTTATTTCTTTATATAACTAAAATCAAGACCAGAGAGAATGTAAATTAGAAAAAGAGTTCACAATAACAGAAATTTAATAGGCAGTTATTCCTATTAAGAGAGCTTAAATTTGACACTCATCTTGAAGGTAAGTTCTGTTATGTAGTTTAAATTGGAAAGAAAAATAAAACATACTAAAGCTGTTTCTAGTATTTAATCCTAAAATTTCTCTGGGAGGGCTTTATAGTAGAAGACAGGGAAGTTCAGCAATAATAGAAGCTGTACTTGGGCACTTACTGTGTTCTTTGCAGGCTACCAGATGCTGCATATGTATTTCATTCAATCCTCATAGCATCTCTTTGAGGTTAACTGATGTTATTATTTCAATTTGACAGATGAAGAAATTGGGAAGTTTAGAAACTTGCCCCAGGTCTTAACAGATAATAAAGTGTCAGAGCCTAGATTTGAGCTCTTATACTTCTAAAATGTATGCTCTTAATTAGAGTAACCTTGGACAGAGCTTCTCAAACTTCAATATGCCTACTGTTCACCTTGGGATCTTTTTAAAATAAAGAATCTGATTGAGTAGATCTTGAGTGCAGCCTCTGATTCACCATTTCTAACAAGGACCTCCACAACCAAACTGAAGCCCGTTGCCATCAAGTCGATTCTGACTCACAGCAACCCTGTAGGACAGAGTAGAACTGCCCTATAGGGTTTCCAGGGAGTGACTGGTAGATTTGAACTACTGACCATTTGATGAGCAGCTGAGCTTTTAACCACTGCACCACCAGGGCTCCAACAAGGACCCTAGGTGATGCTTATGCTGCTGGTCAGAAGACCATACTTTGAATATCAAGGTTGTAGAGGCAGCCTTCTTTTAACCTCTGAAATAAGTACAGCAAAGGATTTCATAAAGCTGTTTCTGAAAATATTCCTCAATGAACCCTGATGCTATAACACTCAACACAAATAAAAGAAAGTAGTCTGTGGATAGAGGACATCATTTTGAAAAAGTAAAGGAGCAAGACATTTAACCCTCTTCATTTTTCTCCCTTCCTTTTTACATAGTGCTGCTTCAGCTTCTCTTGCTCTAACAGTAACATGTTTCCTATTCATTCAGGAACTTATTGTGTACCTATTATGTGCCAAGCATGATTATAGACGTGGAGGTTCAGTAAATAAAGCTGACTAAAATCCTTTCTCTTGTGAAGCTTACACCATAGTGGATCAACTAGCTAACACATATAGCATTTACCACAGGCCAGGTACTGTTATAAGTGCTTTACCTATATTAAGTCACATACTGTAACCTTCACAACAACCCTATGAGGTAGGAATTATATTATTATTCCTTTTCTTAGTTGCAGGAAATGAGACATGGAAGGATTTAAGTAACTTTCTCAAGGTCCGGCAACCAGTAAGTGGCAGGCTCAGTATTCAAATCCAGGCTCTCTCTCTCCACAGCCCGTGTGCTTTTAAGGTTGCACACAATTGGCAAAACTGACAGAGTTTTATTCAGCCCTTATAACCTTATGTCTTACCCCTTTCTGGTCCCACGGCAAGACCAAAGAAATATGATTCTAGTGTTTCATTTTTATTATTCTCAAATATAAAACAAACATTGCTCTTTGGGTAGGTGCTAGGGATAGGTTGAAAGCTTCAAGCAGCCCTAGAAAATGCCTTTCGTACTTAAAGTGGTAAAGCAAAATGTGACAGAAGTTAAAAATTAAGTGCAGTTATGTGTTTGAAAACCGGGCATCAGAAAGTAAAAATAAATGGGAAGTAGAGAATAAAACAGCCACTCATTGTTGTAGCTAAAATAGCTCATTAGTTAAATTGCCAAGCTTTATATCTTATATATAACCTCAGTAAAATAATTATTTTGTTATTTTGGTATAAATGCCAAGGAGAAATGCATTACCTGTAAAGATAGCCTCCCCCCAGAAAAGGAGGGGCAGCAAGTGACCTAGAAAATTTACCAACTAAATAATTAAGTTGGCTTTTGTTTTTAAGATAATTAGCATTGCCTTCTGAAAAAGTCTAAATTTCTTAGACTGACATCTAGGATCTCAGAGTCTCTTACTATTTCCTTACGTGATCACTGTTTCCAGATTATCTAGATGCCTTTATTTTCTCCATGTGTCTTTGTCATGGTGTTCTCTGCCTGAGAAGCTGTTCCCCCACTGTGAAAATCCTAGCTATACTTCAAGGGCCATTGAAATCCGACTTCTTGATCCCTTCCCTGAGCCCGACTAGCACTTGTACTATATTTATTCCTCATATTAGGGCCAGTCCTGGCTCCAGCCTTGAATTTGTTTGTCTCCGAAATGTCTGTCGAATTGTGTTATTCTTGGACTAGATTTCAAAATGAGCATTAGCTGTCATTTAAACTCTTCTCTGGCTGTTTAAGGCCCACTGTGTCACTTTATGTATATAATTTCACTTTACATTAAATACTATATTCTAATTTAGAAGGGACCAAAAGTTAAAGAAAAACTTGTCGGGGGAAAAATTCAAAGTTATGGGAAATCTTAGCCGTTAATTTAGGTTTTTTCCTACTAGGTGGAAAAAGATTGTCCTTTTGTTAATTTTTGCAGCCATTACTTCTGCCTACATGTAGAATGGTAAGGGAGTATCATTTGAGAGAATCTGTAGAATAAAGACCTGGCAATCTGCTTATGTAAAGATTTCAGCCTAGAAAACTCTATGGGGCAGTTCTGCTCTTGTCCTATGGTTGCTATGAGTCGGAATTGATGGCACACAATAATGTTGTTAGATGCCGTCCAGTCGGTTCCGACTCAGCAACCCTGTGTACAACAGAAGGAAGACGCTGCCCGGTCCTGCACCATCCTCACAGTGGTTGCTATGTTTGAACCCATTGTTGCAGCCTCTGTGTCAATCCATCTCATCAAGGGTCTTCTTCTTTTTCACTGACCCTCTACATTACCAAGTGTGATGTCCTTCTTCAGGGACTGGTCCCTCCTGATAACATGTCCAAAGTATACATATTTTAAGGAAAATAGGAGAGAGGGGATAATCATTTGCAAAAGAGAAGAATATACTCCTACAGTTATAATAATAGGTACAGTAACCTCCAAATGCTCCTCCTTTGGCTGTTGTTAACACAGTATCTGATATAAAGTTGAAATTCAACCTGGCAAAGTAGTGTAGTTTAATGATACTATTATGAAACAATCTATTGTAAAAACTACCATAGGTAATGAAAAGATACCTGATGAGAAACTGTAGGAGGTGGGGGTAGGACTGAAATTTCAAGGAGGTTTGTTCCCGAAAGCTGTGACGTGCACTTACGTTCTTCAAGAGGAAAAAATTACATGAGTATCAAACCTTTTTGAGTTGAATTTGAGTGCAGCAAAAAACTGTTCATATCAAATTAAAATGAGCATTTGCAAATATAAGTACATTGGAAATACTCTTTCTCAGAGTGAGTACATTGCTGGAAACAAATGGGACAAAAAGTTAAATCATTTATTTTCTATTATAGCTGATGAAAGTAGTTATTAATGATGTCACCCAGTTAGCTTTATTTATTTGTAACCTTGATGAGAATTTTAATATGACTGGAGACAATTTGGATATGATTCCTTAATGGGCCCAATTTTAGGAAATGATTATTTTTGTGTATTAAGAAAAAAGTTTTAAATGTAACTGTAGACAGGTTAAACTTAGAAAATGTAGTCTATACATGATCCTCCTTTGGTAGTTGTTAACAGAATAGCTGATATAAACCTTAAATTCAAGGTGATAACATTTTGTAAAGACAGAACTTAATTCACTTCACTGTTCATTACCTAGGAATTTACTATTTGTGTAAAAAAAAAGTTAAAAGTAGAACATGTCACAGCCATGGTACGGTAATTAATTAGCCTTATGAACTAGTTAAGCTCTCAAAACTTGATCCATAGTTGAATCAACATTTGCCTAATGAATGAGCTGTGCTGTACAGTACAGTAGTCTGATGTACTGTGAAGT